GAGAGAAAGAGAGAGAGGAGTAGCACGAGAATTTCCGGGCAAAACAAAATGGCGACCCGCGTAGTTCGGCTCGATTCGAAAAGTTAAATAGCCATCCATAGCATCTTTGTAGACTGTAGACAACCAAATTAATTTACTTTTGTGTTTTAACATCATTTTTTAACTTTGTTTTGGTCAATTTGATCGTCCACACCGATAGACAGTATTATACAGAAAGAGACAGAGAGAGAGAGACTCTGAGAGAAGAGGGGAGGAGTTGATCTTGCGAGAACTTCCGGGCGGGTGAGAATAGCCAACACCCCAACAAACACAATAAAGAAGAGACCTAATCCTATCCTACCCCTAGCCCTCTGTAAGCCTGTAGCCTACTGTCTCATCATAGTCATCTTTTTTTAGTGCATAATTTGATAGCCTAGATCTAGATCTAGAATCTAGACTCTTAAAAGATAGATCTAGATCTAGATCTAGATCTAGAATCTAGAATCTAGTCCTAGTGACTAGACTAGTGGTCGCTCTGGTCGCTCTACACGTTCAACCGGGAAGTCACTTCCCAGAGTAGTAATTAGAATTCTAATACATATTTGCCTATTTTCTGGATATTTTGAAGTATATCCATGTAAAACTGAATTCTTTTCTTTATATTACCGTGTACGGGCTAAACTTGCGAGGCTTGGGGATAGGCCTTGTTTTGATTTTGCCGCGGTGGTCTCTGACATCGTACTCCATCTTGGATTGAGATTTGGAAGGACTGCCAGATTTTCCCAAGAACTGCTTTGAAATCAAATAAGGCATTTTTAAAAAAAATTATAACCAACTTCGTTATTATATTATTAAATGTATTATTGCTAGAAACTGACCTTACGTAAAGCAAATTCTAAAGACCTAAAGCGAAGAATTTTTTCCAGCTTGGTTTTTTTCTACAAATACTGCTTTTTAAAAAGGGAAAATACCAACAACAAAAAACCGCTATACGAAAATCAGGTAGGCCCAGATCTACAATAGCAACAACAACATAAACAAAAAAGCGAAAACCACAGTAGCAAAGTAAAGCAAACAAAATAAATGGTTTCAAAAGAGTGATCCCTGTTTATATTACTTTCATTTCCACATTGAACGTCTGAAAATGTTTCTCTAGGCCTAAAATTACGTAAATCTGTATAATCATGAATAGCCAGCACGCGCATGACATCGATCCTGGCCAAATTCAAACGAAGGCCAACTGAGATCTTGGCCTGTAATAACATTGCACCATCGTTTGCCAGTTTGAGGTTTTGATTCGAACTGGTGGTTGTCAAAACTGTTCTATAGTATAAATAAGTATTACATGTATATGTACATGTATTATTAAACCTTTGGTTACTACGATTATATCGTACACTTATCTTTCACGAATTTTAAACAGAGTTTTCATCAATTTGCACCATATTCTACTGGAATCCAGAAGGCTCGTGTTTTCAATTCATGTCACGCAGATTTAATATGTCATATTTATATATATAGTTGCTTACAGGTCTATATGATGTTTTTTGTTTGTTTGTTTGTTTGTTTGTTTGTTTTAATGTCAGTGTCCCCCCCCCCCAGTGCCCAAAAACCAGAGGTTTTACAGACAAAGAGAACAGAAAACAACGAGAAGAGGTAACGACGATACATGTTTGATAGGAAAGAAAGTGCTAACCTCACCAGAGCACCCACCAACCACCCACTAGCAGCCGTGGGTACGATCTATTCTCAATAGATATTCTTTTTGTTGTTGTTCGTGTTGTTATTGTTGTTGTTTCTTATTTGTCACTGTGCTTTTGTGAGAGTGAACTATTTTGTTGGATTTTTTAAAGTAATAATTTTGTTTGTTTGTGAAGGGGTTGGTGTGTGTGTGTGTGTGGGGAGGTTGTTTTGTTTTGTTTTTTCTTTTTTTATATAGTAGAGGTTTTTACGGCGCTCGCAACTGCATAAGGTCATATGAGCGCCAAGGGGTGGGTGTCAACAGAGAAGTCTTTACAGG